CATTCTATGCGCAACGAATACATCTGCCGGCGTTTTAGCAGCGATACGAAGGTAACACCAACCAGTGGTACATAAGCCTACAATTTGACCCCTCATAAAATCGTCCGTTTGCCGAAACGCCTACGGTTTCGTCATTCAGGCATCTCTTCATTCACGTGTGTCTTCCGGAATGTTGAACTTCTTCAAATGCTGAGTTTCCTAAGCAGCAGAGAGTAGCGACTGTTGGTTCGTCCTCCGTTTCCTTCCCTTTTATCTCCCTCTATAATTACGTAAACCAACTCTGCATGACTTGCTCTGCTACATATTCCCCAAAATTTGCATATTTCTACTGCCGAATCTTATACTGTTGCATTTTCTATGTCGAGCAGTGTACATTTCTTTGTGCAAGTTGGCTACAATCAAGTCGATGGTTCATGGATTATAATGTAATATTTTTGGGGAAATTACCTTTAGGTGACCGAATTTTTGGCGACAGTTTGAATAGCAGAGTTGCAAAGCATTTCATTTCGAAAATCATCTTCCCCTGTTTTCCGTTTGAGTACAGAATTCGAAGCTACAAACTTAACGGATAAACCTGTTAAGGCGTAGAACTGTGAATTATGTAATTTGAACAAGTATGCCTTTTACACGCTTATTTAATATGAAATTTACCAATATAAATAATATATAAAATTCACAGAAATTAATTTCAATATTTACTTTAAGTAAGTGAAATAATACTGAAAAATAAATTATCACAATATGAATATCACATTTATTTTAAGCTAGATTAAAGATGTCAATTGAGGAAATCCATTGAACAAACAAATACGGGTATTCAAAAGGTTGTAGAAACAAATAAATGTCTTTTGCTTAGTAGTAATTGCTTACAAAATGCGAAAAAGAGGGAGGATAAGGAAAATTATAGATAATTCCGAATTGTAAAACAAGGCGGTATATAACGGAGGCAACAGATGAAAAATATATCTGAAATAAAACCAAGTAGAAAATCTCTTAATTCTTTCAAAATATACTCGTTTCGTGATAAAGTCTCGTGAAAACTACTGAAATATTATTGGTGACATTAAAACTTGTTATCATACATAACAAATGTTTAAGCAGGAAAGATTCGATATTATTAACCTTCTAAGATATAGTTAAAGTACTTAAGCAGTTTTCTGGTTAGAGTGAGTTTAGTTTCTAAAATTAAGGGAACCCAACTTAATATTAGTTTACATTTTCAATAAAACTATATTGATTTGAATACCGATCACAAAGAATCCCTTTTTTTTCAGAAAAAAATCGTCTATAATCAAGTAAAAAATAGAGATCAAATAAACAAAATGGCGCAGACAGGCAAACTATAAAACATCAAGTAGTTTCTCGAAAATGCTGATTGATCGTAAAGAATCCTTCTGAGTTCAGCTCCGTATAGTTGCCTCAAAACTTGTCGGTAATAAAGAAAAATGGCTATCATATTTGGAATCAGGAGTACGAAATCGATTAAGAAACACTCAAAATAAATACTGAGAAGTAAAAAACCAATTTAGACGCAGAACTGCACCTTTCTAACAATAAAAAATAAAATAAGTAAATAAAGCTACATCATCAACAGTCTTCTAATCCCTTTAAATTTAGTCATTTCACTGTTAAACATCCAAGCTTTCTTCTCTGATTTATTTCACACTTAAACTGAACCCATCGAAGACCATCCCTTCAGTTTATTTTTCCTCGATGAAAAACAAAGAGAAACAACGACAACCATTAGCCAAATTGCATCCAACGTCGTTGGCGGCTGAGCGAAGAAGCCCTTTCTGTTACTTTTTTCTTGTTGGTGTTGTTTTGGTTTCTTTATTTATTATTTTGGCCATCATTCTACGTTAAGCCAGGAATTCTAATGCCCCTCTCGACGATTATGGACGACTGGCTCTTTGAGGAATGAAATGACTGTGATATCGGCAAGATTCAAACGAAAGTGAAATAAATTTCTTTAACTTTGGTTAGATGGCCTCTTAATTTTCTCAGTTTAAGTGTTTTTGTAAATTTTGGCTAACAAAGGTAAAGGGAAATATCACTCCGTCAACAAACTCAAAACAACTTAATTTTAAAACAACTTTTTTGTTTAAAAGAACTTAGAATATATATGCACTTCTCGTGCTCACAGGAATCAATCACCCTTTGTGGCGATGCAATTAAAGTAACATTCAACTTTAAATTAAAACGTAGATTAGTAGTCAAAGACTACACAATGAAATTCAAACCGGAATTGGCTCCAAACTCTTGAGGAAGCTAAAAGGAGAAGTTATAGTAAAGTTTAATTATAAAATAACTGGTTAATTTAAATAATACATGCTGTATCTGAATTTGAAGTTGCGGAGACAGTAGGTATTTTTTGAAAGCAAGAAGGATGTGAAAAAAGAGCAACGCCCTCGCCGGGAATCGAACCACGGACCTCTGGAATACGCACTTAGCGTGCTGAAAACTACACTATGAAGGCGGGTGAAATACCTTATAAAGTGTTTTATATTTATTCACGTGTTTAATAATTTTAAATTAATATTTTGTTAACACTGATATTTATTATTTCCTTGTATTGGGAGGCAACAAATTGTTCGTGATTATTTTCAGTCCAAAAGGGACGTTAGTCCCGAATAGAATATTTATCTAGAAACCGCATGTTGCGTTGAATCACTATAAACGACGTATAGTTTTTCAAATTGTCGCTACCAAATACTATCGCCATCGCCCTGTATTTCAAAGAAATTAAATAATGAAGAATGAGCATGAATGTATGCATGTTTCTCGTACTGCAAAAAAACAACGGTACCTAGAGCCATAACGCCAAATGAGGTACACGCACTTTGTTAAAATTATTTGAAAGTAATGAACGATGACCTTTAATTTTTTTTTATTTCTCCATAAATTTCTCACCAGATATTATAAAATTGAATACCTAGGTATAATTTGAGATGTCGAATCAAAATATGGGGAAACATTGGTATGTTATTTCAGAAAAAGTTCGATTTTGTGTTAAAATACCGAGTTAGTTTCAACTCTTTTGTTAGGTCCTCCGATTTTATTGGAAGCTCTGTTTAGAAATCTATGAGTTTAAACTTCGTGCGGGTAATTCTTCCAATCTATCATTATTTTGTTGGCCATATCGAATCGATCCCAAATTTGTTTTATCCAAGGATCCTATAAATTTGAAAATAATCCACTGCTTACTGATCTGTAGGAGGCAGGTCTCAATTTTTAACCATCTTTTTCAAAATACAAGATAATCACTTTATATGCTTGTTGATAAAAACAAAACGTGGTTTATCGAAAATTAATCGGTACTATATTAAATGAAAGTGCAAATGTTGCGAGTATGTTGTTACTTTAGACTTATTCACAAACGGCACTATATCGCTCTGCTTGGCTACAGTTTCACGATCGATGGGATAATACGTAAGTACCTGAATTTATTATGGAGTATTAAAAACGATTAAGAAGGCACTTTTACATTTTTACAAAGAAGTTCTATTATATTGGCATATGCCCAAATATAGAGGGGATGTGTAGAAAGGATAATTAATGTGTTGTTTTATTATCTGAGCACCACTAAGTAATGATAAGCAAGTAATGAAATTGTTTATATATTCGTACCCTCTTTAAAGGCAATCTACAGAACTTGTAAGAAAAAACACAATTAAATGTTGAAGCATTTTTTCGTATAACTATAAGAAACCAAAAGCGTAGAAAGCGAATGAAGCACTAACAACATTTTTATTGACTCGTTATATAAAAAAGAATTTCTGTTGCTTTGTTGTTCAGCGTATGCGACAAAAAATGTCAAACCCATTCTTTTAAGTCAAAGAACGGAGAATAAAGAAGACACTCGCTCCTTGTTTAGACGACGAGTTCTACAGGACACTATTTAACAAGATGAGCAAAAAAATGTAAAGTTGTTGTGCTATTTCTAATCTTTGTGTATTTGATTTTTAGAGGAAATTTCTAACGTTTCGCAAGCATCAGAGTTTCTCCTTTTTCCTATGAATGTCTTTTATTATAATTGCTAAGTTAATTTTATATTTAAATCTTTTTACGTATTTTCCGTTAACATTTTTGCAAAAATGCGTTGTGAAGTAATCGTATTTTCGAAGTTAAAATTCGAATAATTCGAAGATTCTGAGTTACCTTACGTTTTCTTGAACTTCTGGAATACGATAAAAAGACGTTTACCATTCGTTCATAAAACCCCCTCCGTTACCTATCAATGCCGAATTAGTAATATCAGTGCCGAGTGAATCCTTCTAAAAAAACATAATACTTAAGAAGAAAATGAAGAAAACTCGTGTAAGTAGAGTATAATACATTATAAAACTTCATCCATTTCTATGACAACTTTAACCTAAAATTATGTTGTTCAAAATGTTTCAGAATTTCATTTAATTATATGTTAATCTCAATTAAAAATACCTAATCTGATTTTAATTTAGTTACATGCTAATTATTTGTGCTATTGCTCCGTTTTTGGTCTTCATCCTCCTTTGTGAAATGTTAACGTAAGTTTACAAGTGCAAAACTTCGGACGAAAATATCGCGGAAAAAAACCACCCAAGACGAAAACGTCACTGTACGGAACATCATGCGATGATTTTTAGTTGCTTCATTTTGAATAACAATGTTTTGAAACAGCAATATATTTACACCGCTATTTTTTACCTTATTGTTTTAAAACTGCGATGTTTTTTTTCTAGTATTTTTTTTTTTTTTTTTTCTGTCATGATATTCAGTACTATGATGTTTTCCTTCTTGCGTAGTTTTTGTCCGCGACGTTTTTTGCGGCCACCAGAATTTAATACCTCTGTGTTACATATATTTGTTACGTATATTACTACATATATTACATACATTAATTAATACTGCTATGTTCCATATATAAATCACATGATCATGCTAATGGAAACGTAACTGATTTTTTTCGATTGCAATTCTAGATGTATTTTCTTGTTCGCATTGTTTCTTCTTTGTTGCAGGACCAGGACACTGAGACGGAGGGAGGAAAGAAAATCCGCCGTCGGCTGCCGCCCGTGCCCTTGGACCAAGAACCCACCTCCGTCCCTCTCCGAAGAACCAAAGACCGAACACGGACACTCTCTATGGGGGCTATGCCCCTCTCCACTTCATCAGACAAACCCTGGGATAGGAGGATACCACAAAGGTGAAAGAATGCTCACTCATACCCTCATTTTACGCATGGGAATTAACTGTTTAATCTGTTAATATGCTCAATTCAGAATCTATTTAACAGCCACTGGAGCAATATCTCAACGTATTAAAGTACAATAGTGAATACATCAATGTATTAAAGTACGCATAATAACAGTTAAACATGCTGTATATCTAAATTTTTCGAATGAAGGTTATACATATTTAAACGTTTGTAATAATCTCCAAGTAGCCTTACAATACAGCATCAAATGACGTAAGTTGTTAACATACCCTGAAACTTATTTTGAACGAAATAGGGCTTAACTTAGGAAGAAATCATCATGTCGATGCATACTGTGCCACGCAAGATAATCTAAAACACCTGCGGGGAATGCAACATATACGTTTCTGTTGGAAAAGAAAAATATTTTCCAGAATTATCATAGAAAATAAAGCACTTTGTATGGTTGTGATTTCTAATTTCAACAAAAAATAAGTATATTTTCTCAGCTATACGTTAGACCAAATAAATGTTCAGTAACATATACGTATGTTCACAGTAAAGAGGAAAAACTAAATTAACATGTAAATACAATTTGAGACATAGTATTTATTTTCGTGCATTGCAAAAGAGTTAGGCAAATTTGTATAAGAAAGAAGTGTTGTTTGTGATGCAAAAATAAAATCACGCCCAACAAGAGTAAATAATAGACCTTTGCCAGTTCACTCTGTATAAGATCTTTCATTTACCTTCAGAACTATAATAATGTACATTCTTATACTATATACTTATATGCTTATTAATATAAGCATTTTCTTTTCAGATTGTACGAGTATTAAAATATTTTTGCTTATCCTTGCAGTTGCAATATATTAAGAATACATAGACAAACGTTCAGCGGAAGTTGACAAATGTCGAGTGGGAAAGAAAATAAGAAAAACGAAGAGTATTTAAATCAGATAATAGATAAGGCTGGTAACTACTTTATATTTTTGTGTTGAATTATGAACCCAGCGCAAAAAAGGAAAATGTCGGTTATTTGACAATACAAATGTTATTTATTACTAGAGTAGATCAAGGCCTAATTATTCTTGTTGCAAAAATTACATTTTCTGCTGCAATCATTTGGTAAAAAAATTGCCAAAAAAACGGGTAGGGACAAATTTTATTTCTTCTTTTTGTGTAAGACAAAACGTTACATTAAAAGGGAAAATATTACCATTGATACCATATATACTTTGCCTGTCCTCTCATAGCCATATGGCAGATTTCGCCTGCTAGGTGGGCTGGGGGCCAGTGCTCAGAACTAACTATCTAACTAACTATATATACAAACAAAGCATGAATACAGTTGATAAAATTCATAGCAAAACTTAGAAAAGTATTTACATTAACAGTAGTGATACTGTTCTTTATATAGCATACTATAAAAATAGTTATAAATTTTACAACCTTAACTGTGTTACCAGATCTAGTTTTGTGCTTTCCTGTCTAGTTAAAGACCAGCTGTGAATTCGACAAAACGAGAAACCTTCAACGATAGTTAGCGTCGGCTTGAATGCTAAAAACTCGGCGTCCAACCGGGTTAGTGGTTAGCCAGGCTGATTATCGTAAAATGAGGCCTAGATCCGAATCACGGAGATAGCATCGATATTTATAAATTTATAGTGCCTGGGCGGCATGAGGGCATTTTAATATGCGGAGAGCCTGGATTCTAAAAGACTGGTAGTAGGGGGAAAGGGGTGGGAGATCCTTAGACCCTTTTCCCCGAGATGCTCTCTTTCAAAATTGGATGCGTATTTGAGCAAAGTCGTACTGTCACCTATATGGTGCTCAAGGCACTTGCCAATTCTAGGTTCAGTCTTGACGCCTTGCCACGATGAATTTAGTGGACTTGCTTTGATATCAAACACCTGATCTGATGTTATTGTCGATCGGGTGGGACAAGCCACAAACAAACAAAAACACACTAAAACTCTCACATACACACCTATGCACAATTTTCTAAATGATTGCCACTGAAATCTGCATAAATTCTGGAATCAGCATACCTCGTGGCAAAATAAGGCAAACAGGCATAACCATTTGTTAGAAAACCTCAAACATAATTCCATAATATAACCAAAAAGACAGATATTTCTGATGCTGAAAGTCATAGACAGAAACTTTGATGCACGATTCTGCTGTTGAACAATATATTTAAAAAGGTTTAACATAAGAAATATGAGATAGCATCGATGAAATGCAGGATGTCTAAAAGTTGCTGAACAACTTTAGCATCTGGTTGTTTGAGAATCGAACAACTTATAGCTTTGGTACTGGTCACACTTTAGCAACCATGGTTCAACGTTTTTGTGATAAATGACTGAACTTACACAACCTCGACATACGACAAAATAACCTCTGGTTGACTGTCTTCCAACTTTAGGCATGTGTAGCGAATCAATGTATCGAGATAAATTTTGACTGTTATTATTGGTTCATTGAAGAAGAAATGGTCGTAAAATCCAATCAAACAGCATTCCATAGCAAACATTCACTTCTGAGTTGTCTTGCTTCAACTTCCTTGTGACATGAGGATATTCATATCCACAAATCTTTACATTAAATTTACATCAATTCAAAGCAAACGGTTGAGAAAAAGCTTTGATATACACTCATGTCCATAAATTAAGGATAATGCAAAATCAGGCAAAGGAAGAGTTAGAAGCAAAACAAATTTGACTTATTTGTAAAGCTTATTGATTAAAACAAAAGGAAAGAGCAAAAAAAGATCTATATTTTGATATATTAAAAAAATTAGCCATTTTTTCTCCCTGAGAAAATTACAAAAAAAACCTATTTACAAAAAACCAATATTACATCGTTAGTATGATTGTTAATACATTGTATGTCTCCCAGACGATGCAATACAGTCCGTACAACGCCTAGCATCTGAGTATCGATCTGATCTTGGGGGATATTACACCACTCAAAAGCAATGCTCCGAAGTTCCGGTAGACATGTAGGAGGAGGTTGATGGCTGCAACTCGTCGGCCAAGCATGTCCCACACGCCCTCTACTGGATTCAAGTTCGGTGAGAATGCTGGCCATTCCCATACGGGTGATATCCTCCGATTGAAGGCATTCGCTTACGATGTTTGCACGGTGAGGACGGCGTTGTCATCCATAACACAATTGTGCGCCATGGCGCCCCGAAAAAAACGTACATGTTGTTCCAGAACGTCGTCCCATAGATTTTGCCTTGTCATATTCCAATTTGAACATGCAGGTCAGTTCTGGAACCCAGAATAATTCCACCCCAAACGAGCACTCCTGCACCACCGTAACGGTGTCGTTCAATGATGTTTCTTGGTGGTAACGGGTACCTGGAGCTGTCCATAAAAATCCGGCGAGAATCAACTGCAAGCTAAACCTGGACTCGTCGGAAACATCACACAAAGCCCACTGTTGCGGTGTCCACATGCATGCTCTCTACTCCAGGCTAACAGCAGGCGACATTGAGTTGCAGTAAGTGAACGCATCTGACAGTCTACGAGCATATAGACCAATCTGCCCTAAGCATCTGTACACGGTCTGCCTTGAAATTGTCGTACTAGTGGCTGAAGAAAGCTGACGAGACAGGTCTGAGGCTGTGCTCTGCCTGTTTCTTTTGGCAGTAACTGCCAAATACCGGTCCTCATTCGGCGTTGTAACTCTGCGGCGACCTGTGCTGTAACGTCTACTCACATTACCATCATCTTGGAATCGCTGCCAAAGCCTGGAGATGACACTCTGGGCAATTCCAAGTTCGTCTGATACTTCCAGTTGAGTACGTCCACATTCCAGACGGCCGATAATTCTACCACGTAAAAAATCATCCAAATGTGTCCTTTGTGTCATAACTATTCGGTTATTGCACTGAAATGCTTATAAAGCGCCCTCGAACAATTTTACTTCTTTGCCTGTATTCCTTATATATCTTACACTCTCGTCATTGTGACGTACCATCGGTGTCATCTGGTTACTTGCTGATATTTGCATGCGATTCTTGAAGATGTGTGTAGTGATTTTACAGGTGATATATTTATTTTAGAGTTCGATTTCTGCGTGACTCCGAATTATCCTTAATTTATGGACATGAGTGTACTTGTAATAAACCGTAAAAGTTAACAGCGCTATCTCTTACAGGATGCGCAGCGTAATGAATAAAAATTGTTCAAGGATTTTGTCCACACCATATATAACAAAATAAAAGAGCTGACGATTGACACCTAAATTAACAATTCTTTTAGTTAAATCTTTTATTAATAAAATCCTTCATCTTCAACAGAACTACGTCTTTAGACGATGGTATGGCTTTGACGACGGCAGTGACAACAACCAGCTCCATTCTGGATTACATTGGTTTGACAACCTCTACTGACACCTACTTGCAGCTCCTCTCCTCTAAAGATTTCGGGGGATTGTTCAGCTCCTGCACAGCCACCACCACAACAACATCTTCTATACTAGACACTATACCTTCCTCTCTAGGATTATCGGTAAGAAAAAAAAATATTTTCTTCTATTACGTTTCAAGTTTGTGTTCATGAAAACTATTCATTTATGAATTATGACGATGCCCAACATTGTAAAATCTCTTTTGCGAAACAGCAAGAGCACATATTTTAGCTCAGAGTCTCACGAACACATGACAGGAGTGATTCTGTATTAGAGTGATTCTATATGATTTAAAATTACTCATGTCTCAGTTATTTGTGTATTGTTTGATTTCTCACTTACACTGGCTGCAATACAGACACCCCTCAATTAACGACAGATGGTAAAGGATCTCGTATATCAGACATGCTAAAATTTCTAAAATTTTACTGTAAATATTAAATATAACACCGCTCACTTTAAAGGCATTTCTGTATTGAAAGCAGTAAAACAATCGTTGTATTACTTCTTCTATAAGACTGCTTTTCAAGTGACAGATTTTAAAATTGTTAATGTGAAAGATCTCTACAAGCAGGAAAAGTTCACTCTGCTTCGAGGAATTCTCACTGGAAAAAGCTTACACCAAATCTCTTGCAATACCTAAAAAGAAAGGTGATGATCTTTAAAGGTTGATTTCCAGCAATGCAATACCAAGATTTTATTTTGCATGCAGTCTAAAATTTGAATCATAAAAATAGTTTCTATTTTATATTTTCTATGTAAATATAGGGGAAATTTTCTTTCTTCTATAGCTTGATTAATGCGGTAGCAATGAAACGTTAAAAATACCATTTTACAATTTTGTAGTACATATTATAGTGTGGTAATATTATTAATAAAAGTGACTTAGTTCTTGTCTCTAACTTTTTTTTTTCATTATTATGAGCCACGAGATATAACATAGTCCAGCATAATATTAAGAGAAAACAGATCGACAACAATAACACACTTTCATAAAATTTGTTAATAAATAATGATGATTTTATAACATTTTATAATGACTGTTGTTAACAGAACTGAAATGGAGCCTTGTAATGCTTACTCCATGATCCATCAGTTAAATGCCTGGTGATTAATGCATTTTGAAACCAAGAAAAACTTTAAGCACATTTATTTCAGAACTTTATTTTCGAGCTGTGCCAGCAGTATTGTGCCATGAACGAATTATATTTTGTAAGGAATGTTATTTTAGTTTTAAATTAAGCAGTTTTGCACAGATACTTGTCTTTTTTATCTTACCTCATTTCCTTAGCTGGCGTCTGAGTTATTTCAGAGACAGTGTGTTCTGCTGTTCGGCCACGTTGTTTCCCCGATTTAAGTTTGCTATGTAAGGCCGTGCGTATTAATTGCCGGTTTGTGTACCTTGAGGGGGGTAGGGCTAAAAGCAAATTCGCGTTAATTATCTCTGTGCAGCTTCGGCTGATTATTTAACTCAGTTTTAATTTTATATTTCTGTTTTTAGTTGCAAGCAAACGTCTTGGTTAAGTTTGTAAGCGGGAGGAGTTTCATTTGTAAATTCTTACTTGGGTTGAATAAAAACGTCTTTTCACCCTTCCTATGCCTTGTCATTGATACAATTTGAACTTAACGAATAGTCGCTTCATAGTTTAAGTATCGATCTAGATAACAAATTAAAGTTAATTTAGCTAGAATCACACAATTTAACCGGTAGCCAAAACATTCAAAAGCCAGACGTAGAAGAAGGCACATTCTTAGTCTTCTCTCTATTTTTCTGCGGTGTTATAAAGATGACTGCAACCACTGGCCTGATCTTTACACTTCTTTGCACATGCGTTAAGAGAAATGAACTGAAAGACTTAAACTTCCTTTATTAAAACCAAAAATCTTGCCATGATGATAAATCTAAAAAACAATGATTCGATCAAAATTACCCATTTTAAGCAAAGAATGCTGCTATACAAATTTGTAAATTTTGACTTAGTTTCTAAACGATATAAGATACTTTCAAACTTCGCTTTAAATAAGCTCTTTAAAATTTCAAAAGTTTTAAATATGTAATACTCTAAATTACAAAATTGTAATCCTCATTGTTGAAAGTATAAGTGTGTATTAAATTTCCAAATATAGTAGTTGCCTAGAAACCAAGTTCTACATTTACCATTTATAATTGTTATGCTATCATAGAAAACATTCTTTGTTGCTAAAATGCGAAAACGGCTTAAGAAGCCCTAAACTTTCAGCTGGAAGTATAATCTGCCAGAATTTGAGTTACCATTCGTTCTTTTACTGAGATGATAAAATTTATGTTAGTTTTATGCACAGTACAATGTTCATTGTACAATTTGATTTCAAAAACAGCTTTTCAGAAATAATTTAAGCATATCTCCATAATTAATTTTTTTCATAAACTGTTGGGTATGAAATGGAAACGCATATTATTCATATGGTTGTTTGTATCAAGACCTTTCATGTATTAACTATATTACTTACATTTAAATTTTATCCTTCAAACAGGATTTATAATATCTTATCCTTTTTAGTCTTATAATTCTAACTTTAGCCAAGAAATGTGCTTCAAACTTGTTTTCTTTTAAGGTTTGTTCACGTTTATCGTATTTTGCAGTTTTGGTGTGGCAACGACTGCGCAGTCGTAGGTTTTTGTGTTTGAAAGCTTATAAGTAACATAAATAACTGAATTGGAATTTTTGATCAATTAGTTTTATAATTAGCCTCATTGTTACAATTGTTTAATTTTCAACGCTAGTATACTCGTAATTTTAACATGTAACCATAGGAAATATAATTTATCCATGCAAGTAAATAATTCCACCTTGCCTTTTAATTTTAACGGTAATTGAAACTGTTGAAGTTATAGAGTTCTAATTGGGTAATACTAACTCAAAGTCATTCAGACCCTGTTAGACTAACAAGCGAATTATAACTCCGTCTAAAACGTACAACAAAGTCTTATGAAGGTTTTAAATAATCTTTTTATTTCAGTTTAAATTGAATAGAAAGCACAACTTGTGCATGCACTCAAACTCCCCTCCCCTTGCGGTAAATTTACAACTTAAATGTATCGCAGCCAGAGGCTGTGCATATTTGGTCTAACTAAGCTGTATTAAAACTTTAACGGGACTTTCTAACGTCAGCTAACTCAGTGATTAACGCCGAAATGTTAACTTTCAGAGAGAAGCATTAGAAAACAAAGCTGAAATTGCCGCTGTCAAGAGATGAATGTAATGTAAAATATTCAAGATATTTACTTTATTCTGTAACCTCCTTTGTCCCGGGAAGGGCTAATGGAAAGGAGAAGTTATAGAACAGATTAAAATCATAAACATTTATTAATTAGCACAAAATACCTTAACGGCAAGACCTCGGGAGAAAGTAGTCACTAGATTAGCCCGGCGCTCTCGATCAGCCCTTCAGTTTAAATTTAATTTTTTCCATACTTCTAGAATAAATATCATATATGTTTAATATTGATACCAAAATCACTTAACACATGGATGGGTTAGAGAATGGATAAGAAATTCAGCTCAAGGTAATCTAGCTTTTATGCTTTTCTTTACGTTAAAATAATAACAGGAAAACTACTTCACCAAAACTAACTTCCTGTGATCGAGGTAACAAGAAATTTAATGACGTTTCAACATGCACATTGACATAAGTGTAATGACCAAGGCTTTGGGTCCTACCTTAAGAGAGTTGTTAAGAGTCTATGTTAGCCAATCATACTGTTCTTTGAACTGAAATTGAGATTTTATAGTGCAGTAAAGTATGCATTTCTTTGCTTCAAATTCGGTTTTATCTGATTTGCACGTATTTTGCAGACGACCAGCATGCTGGGACGTCGAGATCTGAGCGCTCCCCACAGTCTCTCCTCCTACCTGCGCAGCAGCGGTGTGGGCGTTGTACCTTCCACTTCAGCCTCCTACCTCCTAGATCACTCAACCACGGACACAGGTCCCAAGCTTCCCTCCTACATGATGTCTCTGAAGCAGCAACTGCGGGAGGAACTTAGATCGGTTACGGAACAAAGGTGAGAAAACATGGAAACTAACTCTCTCTTTTAACTAGTTCTAACCCTAAATATTAGTTCAGATACATTTCTTGAAACTGTAGTGAACCTCAGGTACTACTGCTCATGTTTCGCTGGTAATACGACTAGTATATGGATTAAGTTACATTTCCGTGTTTTAAATAAAAGGAATTGTAACTATACAGTTACACAGTATGGCTTTATTTTTCCGCATTGAGATATCTTAGAAACCAGCTTTATCTGATATCGAATGTAACATTTACATATACTCTTGTCCAAATTTATCTTTACATACCTAAAAATAATGATATTCCATAAACTATCCAATCGATGTAATTCATTTTTGAAGGGAATCTGTGTTAACATTATCCCACAGAAAGTAATTAAATTGTTTCTTATATGCAAATCAAGGCATTACGTCATCCGACAATGAACAAAGCGTTTTACGTAAAGTGAATATATAAGTGAATTTGTACAATACAGCGTTTGATTTCAGTGTCTAAGAGCTCGAAAAGGTTTGTTACACTCCAAAGTATAATTTGGGAGAATCTGTGAAGTAGAGAATTATCGGCCGTTTAGAAGCATGGCAAAAACCCATATAAGCTGCGAGATATGTGACTATTTCAAGACAATCTCTACACTATGAAAACAACTTTAGAACTGTTCTAATTGTTCTAGAGTTCTGAAGTTGATCTAAAGTCGCAAACGAACAGCAACTGCTTCTAAAGATCGATATCTTACAATAACTGCTAATCATAAGACCAACTTTACTGTTTTGCAGTTATGTTAAGACATTGCAGCAGCGAATAGGACTGCTGTATCATGTCAAGCTGTATACAGAAACCTTAACGAACAAGGCTTTTATACCTGCATGTAGGAAGTCAAGGGTATGTGTTTTACTTTTTCATAACAAAAGAGGGATCGCATTCATTGTTGCAAAGATCATCACAACTGGAATGAACGCCAAGGGTCCCGTATTCTCTTTACTTAGGAGTCGAGGTTTAGTTTAACATCTGATTCTAAGCGTATTTGAATCTGTAGGAAGTCAGCCGTTTCGTTAATGCAAGTATGATGGTGAAGGAAGGAATAATGACAGATGGACGTACGCCCCTACAAGTTTTTAATAGCGGATCTATGACAGACAGAGATCGCGGGATGAGGTCTTAGGATCTTATGTAAGATTTCTCAGAGGGACGTATGGATTTGACTTTTTATTTATGGACGATAATGCTCTTCTTAATCTAGCAAAACTCATTTACAAATTCCTTAAAAGTGAAGGTACTGAGTGAATACACATGGATGATCTTAGAAAAGCAGTTGCATGGAGACATCCCCAACCTAAAGATGTAAATGCCTTCCTGTGGAGCGGTGCTTGCTACACAAGGGTGCCTGAGCCTAGGCTCTACTCCTTGTAGAACAGTTGGTAACTTCGAAGGTTGATATATGATTAACCAAGCAATTAAGGATATATTTTTTAATAATTAAAGCTCAGGTTTATATGATCAAATGCAAATTAAATACTAACAGCTATGAGCAAAAGATGAACTGGGAAGTTGATGAGCTGTTAATTAGATTAGCCACAGAGGCTGTCGAGCAGGTGAGAATGGTATTATATCACATGGTAAATTAATGTAAATACTAGTAGCCTGAATTCATATTAATAAGTTATGCGAAAAGAATACACAATACAGAATGCATGATAGAAGATGAAAGATAACTTCACATATATACAAACCCAAATACAGACATGAAATACAGAGATACAGAAAAATGATGGTACTTAGCAACTAGAGGCATGAAGGAAAAAGATGAAGTTTACATAATCCAAGCATTTAACTGGGATAGGTGCCTTTCCATATTATTTAAGTCAGTATAATCATAATTATAAATTTTTATGCTGGAGTTGTCAATAAGTTGCTGCGTACTGTGAAAAGTTTTAGCCAGTATATAGTAGTGAGTCATGAGCAACTCCATGTTGAGTTCCTCATGGATTCTATTGTTTCTTGTGTACCATTCAGCATGTAGGAAGCCGCAATACCCCTGTTTTCCACCATCTGCCCCTGTTTGCAATATTCTTTTTCTGGACAGTTGCGGGATTTGGACGATACCCCAATAGTCAGTGAAAGCCACCCGGGTGTTCGCACTCTGCTCTCACCTGTCACCACCTGTACCATTCAGCATTAATGATTTGTCTAAGTACACTGTTTTGACAGACCTGAAGATGTAAATGCCCTAAAGACAACATTGTTGGGAGAGTGATCGTAATTCCCCAAAGTGTGGTTAGCAGTGTTGTTGCCAGCATGAGAACACATTACGATATGTGTGTACAAGTCAGAGGAGATCGCATTCCATATTAAATGCATGAGTCTAAATTTTTCTGGGTTATTCTTTTTTTTTCTGAAATGTTCTCGCAAATTTTATTGCCATTTTTACTGTTCTGTTTTTATTTGCTAAAAATAGGCACCAAAATTTTAGGAATGTTTAAAGTACATATCAAACCCGCGCGTGAGTTTTAATACAGAGGAAGTTCTCACCATCCCTGAAACTTAAAATGCAGCTTTTTATGAATGAATAAAATTTGTATTTATGAATGAATAAAATTTGTGACCAATATCTAGATGGGAACCAAAGCATCACAAAACACTCGACAAATTTGCAGTTAAATGGGGAATAATTTTTGTTATATATTGTGGCAGGACTTTTTCCCAGCCAAATGAAATTAGCTATTTTGTTTATCTTTACTCCGAATTGAATATGGATGAATTTTACACGTATTATTTATTTTAATTTATTTTGCATTACATATATATACGTATATGAAGAAAGAACTGAATTTACGTTTATTATAGTATTTAATGCTATTTTGTCTGCAGTTTATTTAAATCTCATATTATAAAAGGCTAAGAGAAAGAAATGTGTGAAATGTATATGACGTGGACGCACATAGCTGATCAACGTTTATTAATGTTTCACAATACTTAACAAAGTTTTCAACCCAAACATTGTGTACAGTCAAGTTTATAACTAATTTCATGAGTTAATTTGTTAATTTACTAAGCATTGTTACTCAAAATCTGAGTTATGTTGTAAAATAAAACAATAAAATGATTGATCCATTTATCATTTAATATTATTTGTTTATTATTTCATTTCGTTTCGTCTTATCGCCATGTCTGAAATGTATATACAACATTAACGATGGATCTGTTCTGTACTTTTTAATTCTTTCCTTCTTATACGCATACAGTTCATACCGTAGCGAGTTTCATACGTTCGCTTATTCGATTCGTTAAGGAATCGGAGGCTTACTCGTATGTAAGAAATTTCTGACATAGTAGCTTGTAAGATTATTGTTGTTTTAAAGAATGAAAACACCTTTAAAAATATTTGTTATCCACATGTATTTAGCTTTAAAATTTAGCTTTAAAATAAAAATGTATTTAGCTTTAAAAATATCGAAAGTACAGATATATTTTTATGCAGTGTAACATTACTACCTTACAACTGAAGACATGTATCTTTTATCCAGGCGACGTATAACAGATCCTGACCTATCTGGGCTACTCTCGCATTCGACGTGGCTGGACGCTTCATCATACGATCCCTTGCGGAAACTAGGTTCATCAACTCTACCTTTAACTTCCAGTGGAAGTCGTCTTGGAGGTCCGCAGGCCAGGCGCAGTAGACATAGGAGGCATGCCTCCGACACCAAACTATCAATGTTCTCGTCGTTGGGTAGAGACGAGTTCGTGGTAAGTTAACTAAGTTTCTGCTTGCTGCACATTTGACGAATGCTGTTGTTTTCGGGTTGTAAGTAGGAGATGTATCCAACTCGTTTTGTGCTCTATAATTGCAATTAGAGTATGGATTTATATATCAGACACATAAAAACAATAATGTAATGTTTCTCGTCGAATGCAATGTGTCACGAGAAATAAGTTGTAAGTTTATGCCGACACGCATAGACCTTCAGCATGTACGAGCTAATATACTTTGAGAATAATATTGTGCTACTACTTCAAATCGGCAATATCATTAAAGTAGGCATCAGTGCATCTTATGCCAAAATCTTTTAAACGTACACTTTTTTACGGCTATCCCAAGATAATTACATAGTTCTTAGACATCCGGTTTCCTATCCCACCGTGCTGTCATCTTAGGCCTCCAATATGTACCAAATAAATCTGTTATTTCCCTAACATAAAGCAAATGGGCTGTGAGCACTGTTCCCAGTTCCAGACCGCTGGTCTCTGCTTTCAAATGTTATTTAGAAATACTTTTAAGAGTATTTTTAAATATCATTTTAAAAGCTATTCTCTGGCTGCATATAAAAAGCCAGGTGACTTACCTTCTTAATCTTCTAAGGAACCTTTATAACATCTCTCTTTATTAGATCCTTTATTAGATTTATATGTGATTTTTTTATTATATTTATAAATGGCTCTTTTAGTAACTGTTTATTATGTTTATAACTCTTTTATTACATCTTCAAATTAACAATTTACACATCCCGTGTTATAAAAACTCCTCTGCTTTCGGGATTAACAGAATGCAAAGAGTTAAACTTAAGTATGCGAAGTACAAGATTTGCAAGACAAAGCCCATCCATAAGCTTTGGCTCAGGCCCTCGACTCATGCAAGCAAACACGACAAGCAAAGGCTAAAGATGATTTGAGTAAATTAAAGACTGGATGAAAAATATATTAGGGTGGTTAGCGGTTCCTGCTGCAAATGTGTTCTAAATCAAAGAACTCTGCTTTTATATACATTAACTAATTTGTATCGTGGTGAGATCTAACGAAAGTGGAAGTGATAGTTTAGCTAAAAAGATCAAATCGGGAACTAATAAACATAAAACCCTACTATTATTTATGCAAAATTCTAGTTAATCTTCCTCTTTTAAAACTATTTCAGAATATGAAATTCATTTCTGTATACGATGGTTTTAAAATTGCAATGTTCTAGACGTACACATGTTTTTAATGTTCTATTGTTAAGCAATATTTATGCTTTTCTATAACTATGCAAGAAAGTTCGGAAATATTGAGAATCTGAGACGGACTTGTAAGAAACTGTCGTAAAATACTAGATGAAAACTTTTTATGCCTAAAAAATTGTTTCATTAGCTTGGTACAAAAAACTGTGTTTACACTGGAGGTTTTCTAAACCAGTTATACTAAATAAGGAATTTGATTTCGTTATACTAAATAGGAAAGTTTTTTATGTCTTTCTATTATTGCTCAAAAGTTAAACCATTATGAAGAGATTAGTACCATATATGCATTCAAACAGACACTATTATTAGAAGAATATTTTAGAGATATGTGCATTAAAACTGCATATATTTGTAGAGTTGTTTATTTCTGAGTAGGAAATAAGAAAAATCATCAGTGCCCTCACTAGGATTCTAACTTTGGATCTTTCCAATGACAGCCAGATGTGTTGTCAATTTCACCACGAAGGCTCGCATTAAGGAAGGGAAAAATTCCTTACGTTCTCCCACTTAAAGGGCGACTATGTCGAAAACGATTCAACCTCCAAATGCAGGTGTTGACGAATTATTGTCGACAACATGTTAGTACTTCCACCATTTGTAGAGTGATTAGAATTATTTCGGATTAGAAAAATGAAAACAAACCTCAGTACGCTCCCGGATTTCGTATGCCGGACCTCTCGACTGCCAACCGGATGTGCTCTCACGAAGGCATGTGCTAAAGGAGAAAACCCTACATTTTCAAGTAAAAGGAAAACATATTCTTTAGGTAAGATTCAGAAACTTAACGACAGTTTTATCATCACTTTTTATCATCATTTATCATTATATCTGAATAACGATTTTTCAAAACTTTAAAAATTCGGCTCTGATTCTTTCTTCATCAAAAGTACAGATTTAAGAAACATCCATGGGATTTAAAGAAAGAGACCTTCACAATCGTGTTCTGTGTTACTTAAGCTATTGAATTCGCTTCCCAAGCAAAAAAGAGAAACTTCCTTCAAGCATTTATGACATTGATTGCAATCGGTATAGCAGAAATAATCTGGCTGACTGTGGAGGAGGCAAATAACATTTTTATTCTATACTCCAACTAGATGACAGAAAGAATATTTTTTAAACAAGAGCATTTCCTTGCGAACACTTTAAAAGCCAGGGGGAAAATCCAATACAACAGCAACCTGTGTTCCTGATCCCTCTTTTCGAGATATCGAAAGGAGTTACAAAGAAGTTGTCTCTGTATTTCCCGCAACAGCGAAAAAACAAAAGCCCAAGAATTCCACATCTGCCATTTTTCCTCAATTTTCGAACTTCATGAATAGCTCTTAGAAGAAGAAGAAACGAGGCACGCGCTCTTTTCCAGAGTTGTTTCTTTTTCACCCATTCCAGAAGCTAGATAGATAAATGCATTTGCTTTCCCTCCCCACCACATGCATCGTACTGCTCTCTTTGATGTGCTAGATAGGTGAAGGAAGGATTCAGGTTTCTTTTTTCGATAAAGTGCTTCGGCGCCTGGCGAAGTTGCAAAGAGTGGAAAGAAGTATTTTTGCTCCTGTTTTTGGGTCTTCTTTTTGCATACGGGTAAAATGAAGACTTGTTGGGCTGACTATTGCTTACGAACTACTAAATACAAGATGAAAAATTGAGTTTTCTATGAGATAGTCTTCATAAAATTCGCTGTAAGTGCGTCTGTCTGTGTCTTAGAAGATATAAACTTCGCGAATATGGGAATAGTAAATGTATTCACAGACAGAACTTTCTTACATCATGAAGTTGTCTGATAAGCTGAAATTATTTGCCATGCAGAATGCTCTGCGGTGAATTAAAGTACATGCTCTGTTATTACTCTAAAATGCGTTACATTGTTTGAATTTAGTTGTGAAACGTTTTGCATCCAAAACTTTGGCAGATATACAGCATTTTCTAGCGTATTTTCCCCCATAGCGTTTTAGCGTTAGGTTAAGTTGTTAAGTTGTATTCCTTTTATTATTTTTGTTTTTATTTGGTGTATTCAATTTGTATTGAATTTTTATATTAGCAACTCGTTCATTTTATTTTCGCTTGCATCTATTCCTTGGAAAGTATTTTGTGCAGACTCTTTGTACGGACTCTCTACTCGGACGTGGCAGTTATTTTCGCCCTTAAGAAACTTTCTAAACATGTGATTTCACCTTACTTCTATTATTTACGTTCCAGCTCATTGTAGCCTTATCTGCTGCTGATATGTTCGATCTTTTGAAGTCCCATCTTTTGTTCGCCTCTCTAATGCTTTGCTTCTCCGATGCCCCTCTTGCGAATATCGGTCAAGATCCATGCCCGTCATGTTCGGCTCATTTACCGTCTGGTATTGGCTCAGTATCCATCAGATACTGGAATGCAGAGTATTTTTTTTTTTAAGAAATATTATTATGATAGTTATCAGTAGTTAACCCATGACTACTTTTCACTCGTTATGTTATTACTGACACCCCGTTCTTCGAAAATTAAATTACTTGCCTTATTTTCCCTTCTCGATTTTCGAACGATGAAATTAGTTTAAAAATAAAGGAGAAAAAGCAAGAAAATACAGTAATATATATTTAAATTTCCAGTAAGACAAAACTATTCTATCAAGCTGTAGAAACTTTGCTTCTTTTGAAATATTCTATAACTTTTTCGGAATAATTTTTCCAGAAATGTTCAAAGATTTCATAAATTTCCCCACGCATGCTCTTGCAGTGTACGTTTAACAGACTTATTTAACCACTGGAAGATGTGGGTTCCAATTTCAAAGTCACCGTGGATTTTCCATGTTTTCTTGTCTTAAAAACCTAGTAGATTCAACTAGAAAGTCAAGAATTTTTTTTTTTTTTTTTTTTTTTTTTTTTTTTTGAGTTAATATAGCTTATGTACTTTCATCTGCATTGACTTATACATTTTTTGTTTTTCTCCGAGCTTACTTTTTATTCTTTGAAAACACGGACTTTAAAAATCAAATTTGTTCACAGAATTTTATTGTAAAGTTTGGACTGTTCATTTTTTTGCATTCTTTTTAACTTCGTTGAGTTAGAAACATTCTGTGCGTCTAACACCCTTTTTGTCTTCTGTTTGAAGTTAATTTGCATCTTCTGGCTCTTCAAAAAGAAAAACGTATAAGTAGAGAACAAATTACATCATTAATTTTTGATAAACTATAGTCGACATAATAGTTCGTCCAACATTAAAATAAAGCATTTCAAGTTTTATTTCATCTTTAATGCAAAATAATAATTCTAAGCTGCTAATTGATTACTAATTACTATTTATAAAAAAGGAAACTGACAAAATTCTTACCTTTACTTTTTAATCTCACAAATAAAATTAACTAAAACTGAAAGCACAAACTAAGCCTGTAAATGGGGAGTACCATATCTCTAAAAATTACTAACTTCTTAAATAATTATTTTATAAAGGTAGGTTGTTAACTGAAAGTAATTTTTCTATCGGGATATTCAAAATAAAATTTTAGGCACAAAACTTAGCTCTTTTCTAGTCAATTTTATGAAGTTTTGCAACTCTATTTTTACTTTATTTCATTGATTTATTCGATTATGCTATGCTTTTGTTACTTATTCTATTTTAACTGCTTTACTTTAAGGGATAGATTCAAAATCAATTTCATAATGGGAAATGATACGTAATCAGTCAGGATCTAAGGTATAAAATGACAGTAATGGTAAATGACTTCGATAATGGTTAAGTGATAAAGATGTTCTCGAGGATAAAAGTTGATATCGTAGAGGAAACGAACTTTTCTTTAAAATACGCAAAAGTAACATACAATTAAGTATTTAAGAGGTCATATCGTTAACTACATTCATGAGTTTTACAATAAAGAAAAAAGGTGTAATTTTATTCCTAATAAACTTTAAAGTTTTGCAACTGACACAGATAATTCTGCATGTAGACATTACACTGAGTCGCCTTTTGGTGGCTGAAATTATGATACAAAATATTAAAGGAAAATGATTTACATTATATAAATCGCAAATACAAGATATCTGAAAAACCGAGAAAATTTTTGTTACGATTATGCAATACTAACGTATAACCTGAATATTTCTAAAATGCGGTAAATAGACTAACAGGCTTGCTGAATGCTGTATTACATGCACAAGCACTTGTAACGTAGCGGAGTGTAGTTTTGGAGAGTTTGTGGGTATATCAAGAAGGTGATATAATGCCATTAGTAAAAAAACAATTAACTTATTAACAATAAAATTACAAACATATAACATAAACATAAACCTATTAACAATTATTGAAACTTAAGAAACAAAATACAAATTAAAACAAATTATAAAAAGCATACTCAGCCCTTAGTATCAACACAACAACGCTTTTATACCTTTTGTAACACTGAAGGTGTATATGGTTTCTTGTTGCCGCAAAGTATTTCGCCAGTGAGGGTATTCTGTCACATTCTGAAGTAAGAAATATCCTTTGTTACGCATGCAAGCACTTAAAGAAACATACAGAAGTCATTAGAAAGAACTTGGTATATCAACATATTCAGTAGGAAGGATGCGTACACTTAGATCATGCACGGAAAAGATCTTTAGATGATCTCTTAAGTGTGAGAGAAGCTTTGGGTGCATAAAGCATTTAGTATACATTTACGAAATGCTCTACAAGAACTCCTCTGCAGGAAAGCTGGTGACAAGGGTGTAAGAAATAGTCTAAAAATGACTAAGATGGAATATAAAACTCCATATATTTTTTAGTTCGCTGTTTTGGTGTTGGTTCTTAATTTAAAAAATAATAGAAATCCAGACTCGAAAGCATTTTAGACTAGAAAATTAGAAGGATCTACCATATGAGGATAATATCCATAGATGGTTCAAGAGTTTCTATAGGCAACCAAAGCTGAGATGAGTTTTCTTGCAAAGCTTTCATTTTTCATCAAACCAAGTGTTTATGTACGCACTAATGTACACTAATCGAATCACAAATGTCGCT